GAGCACTTCTCTTTTCTTTGAACTATCCACTTGTAAGCAAGCAAAATTCTCAGCAGGAGGTGGAAGGGTATGGGTCTTTCATCCAGATTCACCCAGTGACTGTCACTTGACCTGTTTTTACTCCTTTGTAGTTAACTCATCTGTAGGAGAAAACCTTGAGAAACAGAAGCTGCCACTGAACTATCTGGGAAATGTGTTTTAACATGCCCTCTTTTCTTTGAACTATCCACTTGTAAGCAAGCAAAATTCTCAGCAGGAGGTGGAAGGGTATGGGTCTTTCATCCAGATTCACCCAGTGACTGTCACTTGACCTGTTTTTACTCCTTTGTAGTTAACTCATCTGTAGGAGAAAACCTTGAGAAACAGAAGCTGCCACTGAACTATCTGGGAAATGTGTTTTAACATGCCCATGGTGCTGCCATCTGTAGGCTTGGCTCTCCTATCTATAAAGGCATTTTCATAGCTGTTATGCTGTCTCCCATCATATTATAGAACCATAGAGTTCGAAGGGACCACAAGGGTCGACTAAGATTTGTGTCTAAACCATCCAAGACTGATGGCAAACCAGACTCCTCTCATATTGCTTCAGAGGGATAGCCAAGTTAGTCTGTAACTGGAAAAACTTAAAAAACAATAAAAAGTCATGCAGTACCTTAAAGACTAACAAAACGTGTAGATGGTATCATGAGCTTTTGTGGGCACAACACACTTCATCTGAAGAAGTGGGTTGTTCCCACAATAGCTCATGATGCCATCTACATGTTTTGTTAGTCTTTAAGGTGCTGCAAGACTGTTTGTTGTTTTTTAAGTTTTTCCTTTCATATTGGTACTTCAGCATGGCTTAGAGGTCTCATACTGGCCCCACTCTGCTAGGCCCTATACAGACATAATGAAAAGCGGCTCCAAGCCCAGAGCTCTTACAGTAACTCTGCTTGACAAATCTTGTCTTGCTTTCAGTTCTGAACAATGTGGTTTTAAATAGCAGTTTGGCCTAGGAATTCTGCAACCTCTCAGTAAAATCATGTCAAAGAACAATTCAGCTTGGCTGCATCTAGACTGGCATGATTTTGTGGAAATACTTTTAACGGAAAAGTTTTTCCGGTTAAAGTATTTCCACAAAAGAGCGTCTAGATTGGCATGGATGCTTTTGCGCAAAAGCATCCGTGCCCAATCTAGACGCGCTTTTGCGCAAGAAAGCTCTGATGGCCATTTTAGCCATTGGGCTTTCTTGCGCAAAAAATTAAGGTGCCTGTCTACACTGGCCCTCTTGCGCAAGAGAGCTTATCCCTGAGCGGGAACGTCAAAGTATTTGTTCAAGAAGCACTGAATTCTTACATTAGATCGTCAGTGTTCTTGTGCAAATTCAAGCGGCCAGTGTAGCAGCTGGCAAGTTTTTGCGCAAAATCTTGCCAGTCTAGACGCACCCCTCATGTATTAAAGCAGCCTGCTTGGAGGCTTTTATTTGGGGACTTTCATTTTCATTTTCCAATTTTCACTTATTTTCTCATGAAAGTAGGAAGCATGGAGTATTTGGAAAGAATCAGTTGCTGCTGCACCCAATTTCATTAGTCACTATTGCCATTATTATGAAGTGCAAAACAATTAGGTAAGTTGGAGAGGACAGAGAATCAAGAAACTTCAAGTGGCAGAGGTCTGTAACTCTCACTTGTCCCTGTCCTCTGCAGGCAGGAAGATCAATGTTTAGTTCTAGGGGGCATTCCATAAACATGAGAAAAACTAACCAACTCCAGCACTTTCATTTCTTTATTCCTTTTTCCTTTCCCTCCACCTTGTAAAGAAAAAAATAATAGGCCTACAGCCCTAGGATTCAATAAAACAATCAATACACCGAGTAAAATGCATCATCTCAAAGCACAGAGAAGCTGGACTAACCAGAGGGAGGGTTTATGTGGGTGCAGAGCCCATAACTCTGCTAGAGGACACAAGATGCTGCCCCTCAAAGAGAGATGGTTTAGGACAAGCCTGGGCAAAATATGGCCTGGGGGCCAGTTCTGGCCTGCCAAGCCACTGGATCCAGCCCGCAAATGCAGCAGGGAGCCTCAGGTAAATGCCTTGCTTGCCCCACACTGTGCCCCCCCTTTCCCCCCTATACTGCTCAGAAAAAGCTGCTGCAGCCATTTCTATTTCTCAGCTGTGAGCCCAGAGGAGGGAGGAGTGGTCCTTCATGCACTGCTCTGCTTCCAGCACAATCCCATTGGCCAATTTCTGGCCACTAGGAGCCGCCTGTTTGAAAAACAGGCAGCTCACAAAGCACCAATGCCCCTTCCCCTCAGGCTCTCATTCACCAACACACTTGGACCCTGCAGCCTGTGCAGGGGCAGGCAGGCAGGCTGGCTGCCTGAGAAACCTGCTGGGCTGCTGGCCAGAAGTCACCCAAGTAAGTCTCCCAGCTAGAGCCTGCTTCTGGCACCCCCGCCCCTCCCACCCTGCTGGGCTGCTGCCCAGAAGTCACCCAAGTAAGTCTCCCAGCTAGAGCCTGCTTCTGGAACCCCAGCCCCTCCCTCCCCCCAAACCTCTGTCCCCCTACCCCACATAAGCCAAACCCTCTGTCCCCTCCTGAACCCATACCCCCTCCCAGACACTGCATCCCAATTCCCTGCCCAAGATAACAACCCTGCACTCCTCCTGCACCCCACTCTCCTGCCCCAGATCACAACCGAGTCCTTCACCCAACTCCCTCCTGAACCCCAATCCCTTACCCCAAGCTCCCTTCTGCACCAACCTGCATCCCAGACCCAGCACTACCTCCATTAATATAATGGAAGAGTGTGGCTCATTAAGTGCTCCCCCATCAAAAATTACTGTCCACCCTTGGTTTAGGAGGTTGGATATTGTTCTCTCAGGATGGATTAACTTAAAATCTTGAGAACTTTCAGCTAGCTTTGAGAGAGATACTTTCCCTCTCTGATAGCAATGGAGGGGTGGGGGGAGGGAGAGAGAACCAACCCACCCTCTTTTTAGGGGAAAGCAATATCTTTTTCTCAGAGGCTATGTGGAAGTTAAACTCAATCAACTGAAGATGGCTGCCACAAGGACTGGAATTTTCCTTTTCTCAAACATAAAACAGAAATTCAATATTTCCTTGGGCACAGGTTAGTAAGAAGAATGCCAGCTTCTGGGTTAAAGCTCCTCTCCTTGCTTTTCACCGTTAACGTGAGTTTACACCTGACTGCAACCAGGATAGGCGAGAACAGAATCAGATCCCCTGTCTTGATAGTTAGAGCATAGCAGCTCATCCGGAACACACGTTACCCCATCCATCAGCTCCTTTCTTAGACTTAAACTCTGCTGCACGAGCCTTTCAGGCATTAATAACCACCCGGCCATCCAAACACCCACTGAAGACAATGGGACTGGCGAGTCGGAGGCTGCATTATTAAGAGAAAGTATCGGAGTTTCTGGACAAAGCAGACGGTTTCCCACCGTAGAGCACATTTAGCACAGTACGAATGGTTACTCATCCGTACCTCCCCCTCCAGCTGCAGTGATCTTCTGAGAAACTGCAAAGGACCGTCTCCAGGACTCCAAAGCAAAGAGCCCACAGCACCCGAGGCATCTTCCCTGAGCTCTCTTCTCCCAAGAAAGCAGAAGGAGGAATCATATGCCAGAGAGAAAATCTTTCCCCACCACCGTGCGGGAATGTTCTTGGAGAGCTAATGCCTTTACGTCCCCGCCATCCATCTCCCCAGGCCGCCTCCGCAAAAGTTCTCAGGGTTTTCCTCCCGCTTCCTACTAGTCCGCAGGGATGCTGCGATTCAGAGCCAGGGAAAACGCAGCGAGGATGAAAGTAGCCAGAGGGCTCATAGTGAAGCGAACTACGGTGTCCGCAGGTTGCTGGTCAGATTCAACGAGGGTGGAGTAAGGGTGAATGCGCGCGGGCCGGAGGGAGGAACAGGAGGGAGATGATTTGTGATTCTCCAATTGGAACAGGGATCGGAAACTTTCAGCCAATCGGAGCCGAGAGAAGGATGAGGCGTGGGCTCCCTTTTCCCCCATTAAGAGGAGGAATTTGAGAACAACATAATGAAATAGGAAAAAAGAGTTAAAATGATCTGAAGTGATTGTTGTCCAGATGGAGGGTTCAGCGCACAGACAGCCGCTGTTGTGCACAGTGATTTGAGGGAAGGTGGATGCTTAGTTTACATGCACATGCCTGTGTAGCTTTTACCTTAGCTTCCTATTTGAATTCTCCCGTTTGAACGGAGTCAAACTATAGTGTCACTTTTAATCGTCCAGTTATTCAGTATATCCATTTCATGAGTTTCATCAGTTGTATCTTTCCTGTCTCTTTCTCTCTCACACATTTCTCAAGTATGTCTCCTGTCTGGCCGTGTACACACACATGTAAACTTGTTTATACACATATACAGGCAATCCCCAGGTTACTACAAGATAGGGACTGTAGGTTTGCTCTTAAGTTGAATCTGTATGTAAGTCGGAACTGGCGTCAGCCGCTGCTGCAACCG